AATTTGCTTCTACGAATGGTACGGTAAAACGTTTAAACAGGCAGACAGTCAAACTCGTCTGAGCAGGGATAAAAAACGAAAGCACGCGATCCGAATATCACCCACGTTGCAATTATACGAAGAATCAGCTCTCACCAAAGTAGTAGAAGCCAAAAAAGCATGGTATCGTTTCATACAAGCAGAGTGTTTCCCTAGAGAATTGCGAGCGCTAAAAAGAAACGATGAGATTCACAGAGGAAGTAAACTGATAGGTTTGAAGCCATACGTAGATGAGGAAGGAGTATTACGAGCGAGGGGGCGCGTCAGAAAATTCTCGTCCGCGCCGTTTCAAAACAGACCGGTCATTCTCGACTCAGATCACTTTGCGACAACATTTCTAATTGCCGCATACCACCGACGATACAAACACGCGAACAATGAAACAGTAATAAACGAGCTGCGACAACAATTTCATGTAGTCGGACTTCGTTCGAGGCTATGCTGGCTCGCAAAAAACTGTGTAATCTGTCGTTTACGCCGCGCCAAACCGGAAAATCCGCCGATGGCCGACCTACCTAAGAGTCGTCTCGCGTACCGAGAAAGACCGTTCACCCATTGCGGCATGGATTACTTTGGTCCGATACTTGTGAAAATAGGTAGACGGACGAAGAAACGCTGGGGTGCGCCATTCACGTGTACAACAACACGCGCAATATACCTCGAATTAGCGCATACACTCAGCGCGAGTTTAGCAATGATGGCCGTTCAGCGATTGGCTGGAAGACGAGGTTTCCCGCGAGAAATCTATACCTATAACGTCACTAATTTCGTCCGAGCAAACAAGGAATTAAAAGACGCGATCGCGAGCATCGACAAAGAAAGACAAAGAGAATTCGCAAATATGAACCGTTTTCAATGGCATTTCAACCCACCGGGCGCAGCGTACATGGGGGGGGGGGAGCATGGGAACGTCTTGTCTGATCCGTCAAGATAGCTTTAACTCACGCGCTCAACGAACAAGCGCCGTCAGAAGAGGTTCTCCAAACATTATTCGTAGAGGTCGAACGCATGATAAACTCCCACCCTCTGACACACGTCTCTATTGATCATGCAGATGAATGCCGAACCATTTTCTAATCGGCGAATCCTCAGGTCATCTACGGTTCGAGAAATACGAAGTGCAAACCTTTAGCCCGCGTAAGAACTTCGAGCTAGCTCAGCAATTCGCGAACGGATTTTGGAAGAGCTGGCTACGCGAGTACTTACCTACCTTGATACCGCGACAAAAGTGGAACGCCGATGTTCCAGCTTTATAACTCGGAGATATCGTCATCATTACCGATTACCAAATACCGCGAAATACCTGGCGAAAGGGTAAGGTCGTAGAAATGTTCCCCAATGCTTCTGATAACGTAGTTCGAGTCGTAAAAATCCGTTCCGGAAAGAAAGAATACGTCCGGCCAGTGAATAAACTAATCAAAATATTCGGACCGTCGGAATAGATCTAAAATTTCATCAATTCTTAGACGGGGAGGTTGTAAATGACAGTCGAACATCGCTTCGTATCTTTCTCTCTTCCTCTCTCTTTCTATCTTTAAAAAAGAGGAAAGAAACGTAATAGCGAGACAACAAGCGGGCGAGCACGAGTAAAAAAATGATCCTGGCGTCCCGCCGTTAGCCGTACGACAGGGTCGGCGGGCCGCATCTGTACTTCAGGTGTGCCGCATCGACGCTGACCGATCCAGTCAAATAAATTACTTTATATCTACTCTCGTTTTTTGTCGGGTTTTTCTGTTTTGTTCGTCGCAAAAAGAAGAGCGAAGAAAGCCGCGGAAATTGTAAACGTGTAGGACAGACACCGAACATATGTAAATTGCCGGAAATTGTAATGCTAAGCAGCGACAAAAAAGTGCCTTGCCCGTTTGGGCCTTCTTATTTCAGCACTGTAACGGTCCAGTCTGATTTGTCCCTTTTTTCCCTCTGCAAAATAGCAACCCGTCTGCACGAGACAATCAAAGAAAAGCGGTAATTGAGCGAAGGCGCTTCTCTCACATATGTGTTAGAGCAACTCAGCGAAAACATTACCATATAAGGAGCGTGATATCACGACCGTGGGAAATTTATTGTTTACAATGTAAAATCGACAATTATAAAGTTTTTCGAATGAACAAAAGCAGTTTTTTAGTCAATTTTGATGCGCTGATCCTGAATTTCATGTCATTATAATTCTCAAGTCGATATTTAATAGTTTAATTTAATTTACAAGTTAATATTGTCAGTTATTTTGCAATAAATAATCATATTGTTAATCCGAATATGCGATTACGTCCACGACATATTGAAACAGAGAAGCAAGAATTTGACACTTTGGTAACTGATTATTCACTGAGTTATCAATAAATATAACATTTATAATTTATTTAAACAATTAAAATTGCGTTGTTAGATAGCGAGTCGATTGTACATATCTGTAAAATTAATGACAATGATTGTCACTAATTTGCTGATTTTTAAATGGCTAAAAAAGAAATTTGCAAATTCTTTGTTTAATTATTATTCAAAATTGGATAGCTATATTAATCGTTTTTAATTTGAATAATGTTCCACTAATCACAAGCGATTTTTTTATGTAAAAATTTTTCGAAAATTTATTGTAAAATTGGCGTTATTTGATTATCAAATTGTATTACTTATAACTCTAAAAGGCGATTTTTTCTCGAGAAACGATTTATGTTAAAAAACTTGTTATTTCATATTTAATTTTTTAAATCATAAAATTGCAAATCCGATCGAGCCATTTTGCGACAAAACATGTGCAAAGTTTGTATCAATTTCAAAAATAGCGTTGTAGGGGCTACCATGCGTAGAAAGGAGCCGATTTCGCAAGTATAAATTCGCTCGTCGCTGCGGCAAGAGGATTCACTATCCTACCTTGCTTAGCAGCGCGAGCATTGATCAGAAATAAAGGCTCAGCAATTTCCTGAGACTAATTTCTTTATTCAGTGGTTAGCCTGCTAATTCCTCTCCTTTCGATACCTAAGCGCTCAACTCATAAGACTATCTCTCTTATGAGAAAAAAGTAGCCTTAGAGATCTCCTTCCTTCAAATTTATGAATTGTTGAGAAATTAGATTAAGTATTGGTTGCGGCGCTGTCGGTCCTTTCCCCGATAGATGTAATCACGTTCAATTGTATTTTAAGACGGTTCATCGAGATAGAAAACTTTGCTTTTGCTACTCGACAAATTTTGATATTTCATTTCTAGAATATACACGTGTCAACTTCTTGCTACTCTCGGAAACGCGATTACAAATACAACAGAAAGAGTCCGAACTATTATTTTGATAACACGAGATTGACTTAAACGTTACAGCATATCTCTATAAATCTCACTCTCGTCAATGACCGCGGGCGTACGCAAGGTCTGCGTATCGTCGCCGGACACTACTATACTACTCCGAGGGATGAATCCCTGAAAGTCGATAGACCCCATGGGAAACCGATGGTCTTACCAGAGGTTTCCGGGTATTGTCGGGTCGTAAAACAGATAGATAGATCTAGCACAGAGGCTCCCCTAGGCTAACAGGCTGGCGAAAGAGAGAGACAGAATATGGACGAGAGGAAAACGACGAGAAAGCGGAAGATAGAGCGGGGGAAGAAGGGGAAACGGGGTCGTAAACCATGCCGCATCAACCAGTCATCAACGACTAGAATAATATTTGAATTCGAACGAGCAAGTCGCTCTTCAGTCGCTGCTAGCCTCGTGTAAATCTGATTGTAAATTCAAATTAAAATAAATACAAGTCTGTATAAATATCAAATCTAACACATCCTTATTATTGTTCTTCATACTCACCCCTAACATTTATGTTTAATATTCAATATACTAACATTAAATTACTGTATCGAAATGAATAATTTTTAATTCGCTTTTTATGAAAATTATATTCTGAGATGTTAATTTCAGTTTTTATGCATTAATTTTTTTTTAAATCACGTGCATGAAAGTTCAGTATTCAAGATTATAATTCAAAATATTTACATTAACTTTCTCTGCATAAATTAATATATTTTAATGTACTATTAACAAAATTCAATATCGAGATGTAAATTTCATTTTATTATGTTTCAATTTTCCATAATTTTCGTATATTAAATTTCATTAAAAAATTCATCAACTTTGATAATATATTCATTAGTTCTTTATTTTTCTATTAAAGTTATTTCATGTACGGCTTTGTAATTTGCTGCATTTATTTTTGCATTAAATTTCATTAATGATTTTTTTTAACAGTGTAGTATACCATAAAGAAACTAAGCAGGTAATAATAGAAGCTTTCAACGATGCTTGGAACCATTTTTGAAAACAAACAAAAATGGAAAATTCATACTTTTAAAACAAATTTTTCCGAACGAAATAGTTCACTACAACTAGATAGAAAAGCTCAGGTAATCTTAATGAGAATAAAAATTAGACACACAAATTTAACACACTCTCACCTCATCTCAGAGACTGAGCTAGCATACTGCATGTACTGGCAAACAAAACTTACCATCGAACATATATTATCAAAATGCAAAAAAATTCTACAATAAAAGAAAAATATTCAACATTCAGACTGTAAAAAGATTTTTTCAAATGAAGGTAAAGCAGTATTCCAATTTCGTAATTAAATCAAGATACTACAATTCGTTTAATGTATACTATACATTGTATACGTTACTTATATACTATTTATAATTTCACTATTTCTCATATTAACTCCATTAATTGTAATGAAATGTATTATTTGTAATTATAAGATTCATGCTTGATGTAACATAGTCAACCAATGTAAATATAACATGTAAATGTAACACTAGTCGCAAATAATCAAGTGGTGGATGTGACCTGAAATACCTAAATATAAAAAAATAATTTATTTTTCCTGATACGTACAATTAATATTAGTGTAGTGATTTTTACTTATTATTAAAGTTTGAAAGGGTAGAATTGAAGAAAAGCATTGAGAATAAGTTTGAAATAGTTTTATTTAACATTAAATTTTTTAAACAAAAGTTTTTCAGATAAATTTTTGATGACAAAGTTTTGTTTGATATAAAAAGAGACATGTTATAAAAATAACTCATTATATTGAATATTGATGAGATTTCATCAAAATGACCATTGGATAGAGAAAAGTGTCAAAACTAAACATAGCGTTTGGCAAAAAAACAATACGGAGGACGAATAGTAGCCTAGTGTAGTTGAACGATGTTATATCGCTTTAGATAATCACACAATCAATTCGAAAAGATTCACTTGGTATTAAGTATGTTCATTTATAAATAAATTTATGTCTTCCCTATACCTCACGTACTTACATACATATCTCATCGATATCACATTTTATAATATATCAGTCATATATTTTGAAAAAAATTTTGTGATATTATTGATGTTTACGAATAGCACTCCGAAACTAAATAAATTTACATTATGCCAGAAAAATATCCAATTATAAACATAAGTATGTACATACATGTTATTAATGTTCATTTAAACGATCTTAAAAATAGTAAAGCGGTGAATTAAAATTAAAATGTGAACTATATTAATAAAATAGCTCTCATGATACAAAAAGGTAAAATTAATTGAAAAGTTAAATAATAGTTTCCTTGTATACAATATTTTTTACGTATCTTCTATTATGAAAAAGATTATTATAAATTGATTGAAATATTTATTAACTAAAGTCTGAAATTAATCTACAAGAATTTTCTATTATAAATAATAAGAATACTTTAGTTGCATATCGCGTTAATAAGTATTTGTATAATTAAATAAAGTAAATAGATTGAAAATTGTAATTTAATAGAAAAAAAAATAACAGTTTTTTTTACTCAGCCTAAGAGTTGTTTCAAATTTAAAGCATTTATTTTAAACAACAATGTAACTTTAATAATGAAAGTTTTTATTTGTATGTACATACGATTGACGAAAGTAATAATTAAGTCGCAATTAAATATGAAAACATTGTCATCACGACTGAATATTTAAATTATATATCAAAAAAATATGTATTCAAGTTGACCCATTTTTGTAAAGCCTATTTTCCAAGTGTCGCTAAAAATCAAAAGAGGCGATCGTGTGTTATCATATGTATTTATTTAATTTCACATTGGATTGCATTTTTCTAATTCAATGTAGGTACTTGCAAATAAATTTGCGAGGGCAATCTGCGCAATCTGAGATCAACTTGAGCAATTTGTATTGCTATAAACTTACATCTAATTAAGAATAATCACATAAGTACAATATAATTAAAAGCGTTCATCGATCGATTCAATTCAATGAAAATTATTGGTAGCATTGAAAATCAAATTTTTTCCAGTAATTAAAACAATAGATCAAGTGCTCAATTTTCTATGTTTAAGTGCCAATTTGATATTTGCACTAATGTTTATATATTTAGCAATCTTTATTTAGTAGAAATTTTAAATATGTCTTACAGCTTAATGTATATAAATAAATTATAATAGTTTTCATGTTCGATATGTCATTCTTTGTAGAAAGAATATAATGCAGTTTTCAATTTGATAGAGAATTGTTGCAATAAAATAACTTGTATTCACGTTTTTCTTCCTCGTTCATTTTTTCATTTTATTTTATTATTAATAAAATAGTATATTAGTTAATTGATACAAAAAATTTTACGTTACTTTTAGAAATATCTTGGTCAAATTAAACAATTAGAAGAAATTTGACGCATTACTCAATATCTTCAAGGATTTTTACATAAAATTTATTCGAATATAATAAATAAACATAATAAATTATATAAATGATTATGATTAAAAAATAAATTACTAATTCTAATAATTATTTTAGTCTTTTCAATTTTTCGAAGGAAGAAAATAATTACTGAGATTCCAAATCTGTATGTACGATCGCTGTATTGAAGGTAAAAAAGATTAAAAAGTAATAAATACGTATGTATATAAAAACAATGATAAATAAGTGTCAAATATTTAAAAGCTAGGTTCTTTTCATAAAGATATTGATTTTATTAAACACGAATTTTTTTATTTTGTTTATTTAACTTGATACTTTTCTATTGAACACGAAAGATAAGACTATTTTCTTAAAAAATGAAATCTTATTTGAAATCATATTTTTTTTAGGAAAAATTAATTAATGGTTAATTACCGCCAAATATTGTACGCGATATAATTGTTTATTTGATCCTTTTTAATAATGGGAAGATTTTAAACGGACAATTCTTTGAAATATTTATTTATGAGTATCTTATTTTTTCTTACTATTATATGTTTTCTGTTCGATTAAAAAAACCATTATATTACATAAACAAAATTAAAAAATTCGTGGCGAATAAAATTGTATAGAATTCGTACGAAACGGACCCAGCCTAAATTAAATAATTCGAAAAAATAATAAGAATTAAGTACTGATAATGATTTTTATAAATACTAATAAAAATTGTTATTAAAAAATTAATACGTAGTATCTGTAATTGCAGTCAAGTTAAACAAACCAAAATAGATTTCGAAAAAAAAATAGTATTTACAAGGCGATATGTAACAACTATATCACAAAATTTCAATACAAAATAAAAACCAAGAGAGTTCAAAAATTGTATATAAATTACATAAAACTTAGTGATGTCAGTAAAATTGGAAATTTAAATTATTTTGAATATTCTGTTTTTAAATAAAAGTGACTGCAAGTACAATTACATTACGTACTGTATTATTTTGTTTAACGAATTTGTGCCATCATACATTCTTAACAGTTCTTTTGATATAATAAACGCTATACGTACATTCCTTGAACTTACAACAAACTAATAGGAAACAAATTCTTATTTTACAATAACAACCTTGTACTTTTGCGTGATTGCGCCTCGCAAATACCTTTACGTAAATCTCTTCATTGAATTCTACAGCTTTTTTATAAAAAAATGAATGAATGATGTTATAAACTTTCGTGATTCATTATAAATCAAATTACATTTTCTTTTTTGCTTTTACTTATTCTTGGTTTTTATAACTTTTAACATCTTATCGTATCGCCGGGTATCATTATTATTTAGAAAATAGAAAAATAAGTCTGCATCTGCCTATTATTTCCACTGTTTTTTATCAAAAAAGGTGCACGCTCACAGACGTATAAGTTTTTCATGAATTCGCAAACCTCGCTTTTCAATTTGTTGTACTGAACGTATAATTATTTACGAGTCGTAATATGCAAGTCTTCAGTCTGACGGTACGTGTGCTTAGTAAGGAGAAAAATCAGATAATTTATGGCATTGTTGACCTGAGAATGAATAACGAGTTTTGAACTTATATTTTTGACTCGAGATATGGCAATGTTGCGCATGATACTTTGCTGATTTTGATTTACAAATGCTAAAAAGAGAAATTTTCCTTAAAATATATTATAAGCGCTTTTGACTATCGATAAAAAAATAAGTGTTATAATAAATTATACAAACAAATATTTTGATGAATTATAATTCTAAATGGATAACATGTCAACAGTTATCTTGCCAGTAAAAATGGGAAGTTTTTCATTTGACGTATCCTAATAATATTTGTGCTTGCAAAACTTTGTTAGATTTGACTAGTTGTAGTTTCGATGTCATAACATCGTGTTGCATGTTAATTGTCATGTGAAAATGCTATAGATGGACAAATGCAGTAACATGAGTTTTTCTAAACGATTATTAAATTAACAACCTAATCAAATAAAAACCTGGGAGAAGCTAGTAAATATATCACATACAAAATTTTCACGTTGGCCGTGATCACCTTATAACAACTTATAAATTTTACCAGGTTTTTAACAATAAAACTATGATTAATTGTTTTGCTTATTACGCCAAATATCATAAGCGCAGCCCAAACATTTTTATTTAACGATCACAAAATCACTTTGTTCACTGCAGAATCTAAAATTAAAGTCAAATTATTTGCAGATTACACTTAGTAGACTACGGTTCAAATTTTGAAACGATGCGTAAGATTCGAAGAATTGTTGATGTCGATCGTTCCAAGTCATGGAAGAGTGTCACTATAATTAAAAGCGTAATCGGTAGTAGTTAATTGAAACTCATTTACCCCCTATCCATTGAATACAATGCGAAGTTATACAAAATGTAATTTTAATATCAGTTCAGCTGCAAAGATGAAATATTGCACTAAGACAAATAAAATAAAAAATATCTGTTTTCTACATGTTATTAGAGACATAAATAAAAATACAATTTTACTAGATTTATTTTAAAAAATATTCTAGAATGTAAAAATATCAAGTGGCATAAATGATACCTTTGTCTTAATGTAATTCTTTTTTGCAGCACAAAAATATCAGATGCATGTATTCGAAGGGATTTGATTCAAATAAAATTTATCATATTGTGCTCATAGATAAAAGTACTATACCGTTATTTTTGAAGGGGTTATAAAAATTTTTAATTACAAAGTCCTCGAGCAAACGTATAAAAAAATATATTAACACAATTTATTCAAAATTTTCTTTTTACTAGATTAAGACGTTTCTATATTTCGAATAAATGATTCAAATAGATTCTGCATAAATAATATTCAATTATTTTTGAAATTGATTCAATTCTAAAAAAATGTTCATTTTTCAGAAATGATAAATTTACGAACAATTGGAAAATTTATCATGTACTAATTGATTCAAAAGCACATTTAAATGATTAAAATATTGATATTCACTCGTTCCACTATGAGTTTGTATATGATAAAATAAATACCAAATTTTAGCAGATAAAGTTTGCATTATCAAATTGATTAAAGATTTTCGATATTGTCTCAAACAACGGAGATTCTTGGCTCAATGTAATAATGAAATTATGAATTATTGAAAATTCAAAATTTGACTGAGAAAGATTAAGGTACATTGGAATAACCGTACTATAGAAAATTTTCATTCATTTATCTATCGATACGCTAGAGTATCATAAGGGTTTGTTTCAAATTTCATTAAATTACAATTATTGAATTTACCGCAAAATAAATTAATTCTAAATTTATATCATTTGCTCTACTTGACTTTGTAAATTTGAAAACGTAATCTCTAAGCTTCAGTGGATGCTACTAACGACCCTTTTGGGGTATATGCTGTAGCATTGGGGTCCAAATTTGACACGGTACAACCTGGACATGGGCTTTCGTTTGTACGAATTTTTGAACCACCTACACGAACATCGTTGCCAAGTCGAAGCTTTGATGTAGTACATGTTGGGGTTGAACCAAACGAATCCTGTGGCATAACAGCTAAGTCTTGTGCTATTTTTGCCTTTAAAACGTCGATCTCCTTTTCGTGTGATCGTATTAGGCCTAATTAAAGATATATAAATGTATATGTCTTTTTTTAATTTTATCTAAAAATGACGTTTATATTCTGACAATAAAACTAAATTACCTATAGATGATAACAATATCAAGCAAAACAAGCTTGAAATAAAATTTTGATCTGCAAAACAATACTTACTATCCTTAATTTCTAGTTGACGCTTGGCTTCGCCAAGTGCTGAAAAGAGATCCAGTTTAATACGCGTCTCTGCACTTAAACTATTCTCCAAATGAGTATTTTTATCTTGCAATGCATTGAGAGCTCCGAGTATGATTTCCGATTCACCATGATTTTCTTTACAGCGAACCGTTTCTTTTTCGTAAGCTATGCACCTAAAATTTAAATATATATATTTTCTCAAGTAAAAATATTTATGTACTTAGCCACGCTATTTATACCCAATTTGATTGTGCAATATAAAATTATGATTTGAACTAAAAAAATCATATCTATCTTGATATAACATGAATATCTAGGTTGATCAACGTCGTATTTTAATGTTATATACAAAATATGCAAGATTTTTCAATTTGAAAATAAAATAAAGAGTATTAAGTGAAAAAGTACACAAAGCATACGATCGTCTCTGAGCGAAACAAATCAAATAATTTGTAATTACCTCTCTTCTTTAACTTTTAATTCTCGGCGTAAGCTTTTGAGATCCTGTTCTATTTGAGCTCTACGATTTTTACACATATCAGTACATTCGTGCCGAATAAGTGGCGGCGGAGGTGGAACTATACGTGCTTCTTCGGCGGCCCTCCGCGCTCTTCGTTCAGAAGCTAAAGATGCTTCGCAGGCTGTGCGCTGCCTTCTTTCATCAGCTATTCGTCGCTCCAATGACGACATAGTCTGTTTGTCCAGTTGACGAGCTGATACAAGTCCTTGCAACCTTTAATACAATAAACAGTCGTTTATTTTCAGAAGACTTATCCAGTAAAGTGTGATGTGAATCAGGAATTTTTCATTACAACCACGAACGTTTGAAACTTTGTACAGCAAATGTAACTTACTTGCTCTGTAACTGATCATTGTCATGTTGTAATTGTTGAATATCATCTTTAGCTTGTCGTTCGCCATTTAATAAAGTGTTGATCTGCGATCGCAATTCTTGTTCAGTTTGTCTACTTGACTGCAGATCTGACTTCAAACGTTTGATATCGGACTCAAGTTTACGACACAAAAGTAGCCTATTGTACCAACATTATCCATAAAGTTACTCCTTATTTTGAATAATATAAGTAAGAACTATTTAAAAAAATAAATAACTTAATTACCTTTGACAATATTCATCTTGCTTTTGTTGTTCGTTTACATTTTCAGCCATTACTTTAGCTTGTCGTCTATCTTTTCTTTCTCGTTGATTATTCGTCGCATTTGTCGTATCTTTATTTTCTTTCGCATTACTCCATTTGCCAGTTGTTGAGCCGTTGGATTGTGATTTAACAGTATTATGACTTGAATTTTTGACAGACTTATCTTTTTCGATTTCATTTATATTAAAATCATTTACAGAACTGTAAAGGAAGATAACTTTAGTATAAAATAAATAAAAACTAACATACAAAAGTTAGCTTCAACAAAAATTAGTACCTAATTCTCTCTATAAATTGTAATTCATGAGAATGTACAGCAGTGCCGTTTGTGTGTGAATACTTTTTATCATTCTTTTCTGATTGTAACGATTTTTCAACAATATGTTTATTGTGTTGGTCCTCCTGTTTTTCCCCCCTTTCAAGAGATTTTTTCTGATTATTTTTACTTGCATTTTGTGCTTGTGGTGACATTTGTGTATTACTCTGAATCCCTCCATTTTGCAAACTTGTATCTAAACAAAAATTTCCGACTCCTATAGTATATATGTTAATAAATTTTTAAGACATTAATTTTGCGTATCACAACGAATCACAATGAAATAAAATTTATCTCATTATGTTCAGTATACAGCACGTTATTAACTACCTCTGCTTTTTTCAGGACTTGGATTATATTGATGATTTGACCTATGTGACTGTAATTTCGAACTTTGTTCTACCATTAAAGTAGATATTTGTGCTTGCAATTGCATATGTAGTTGTGTTTGCTGTTGCAAGTTAACTGTTTGCTGTTCTGGAGGCAGCGCTTGCTGTAGAAGTTGTACATAAAATTCATTCTCTTTTGCCACATCTTTTTGTTTTCTCTAGAAAATAAAAATATTATATAAATTGGAAGCTTCTTTTCAATTTTATTGTAGAATGTTAATTAAATATTATGTTATACAAACCTGTCTTATTCTATATCCAACATAAGTTTTAAAATTAAAGCCTAACGTTACTACTGGATAGCCAATGCTATAAAAATAAATATCGTTAATATTTTTTAACTGTTTTCTAAGAATTTTAAGATTTTTACTTACCAATGAGCTGCAAATGGCCTACAGAGGTCTAAATGAAATGGCATGTGACGTAGATCTTTTAATCGTACAGCTGCTTCTATGTACAGAAACAGTAACCACAACATCACAGTTGGTAAGCAGACACCTTTATCTGTGTTAAAGAAGTATAAAAATGGCTATTGGTGCAAGTTTTAGTTAGAATAAATTTTTGATTTGAATTTAAAGACATGTCTGATTAAACATGAAATACATCATCATAAATAGAGATTATTGAAGTAACAACATACCTGTGTACCAAACATACTGCACCCAAACATATGTACTGGCTGCAAAGAATAGCCAATGTATAGGAATAAATAAGAAACATATTGTATCCGATGTTAGTGCAATACAAATAAAGAACACAGAAAAGGCCTGTAATAAATTTTCATAATAGTAAATTTAAAATTATTATATATATATATATATGTATATATATATATATAAACATAAAATTTTACTCACCAAGCCTTGGTATTTAAATGAATCATAAACACTTCGAAGTAGTAGCCAGAACGGCCATAAGAATTCAAAGCGGAATTCTAAAATAAAGTCTGCTAATATCACCATGGCCCATAGCAGAAAAAATTTCAAATATAACAATGTGCTGAAAAAGATAATTTTAATTAATTCATTTATATAAGAAATAATACTAAGAGAAATAATAATAGCAATCTCTTGATAATGTATACCAGGACAGGTCACAATCTCAACAATAGATTAGATTGATTTATAAAATATTTAGTAGTATTTAAACTGTAAAAATGATGTGAAAAAATATTTACATGATATGTTTTATGACAGTGAGCAAATGATTACATTATTGAAAATGAAAAAGGGGTGACCAGCTTACAATTTCATACAATCCTTATTGATATACAATGAAGTATCGGATAGTAAATACATGCAATTTAAAATAATATTAAAAGTTAAAAGCAATAGTGCAGAAACGGCACGAGCTTGCACTTGCTGAACAAATATGAAATCAATAACTAATGTTCAACTCGTTAAAAAAGCGATGTGTCGATAGGCCAGTATTGATTTACTTGAAAAAAGCATAAAGTATTTTAAATGAAAATGAGTAGCTAGATAAAGTATCCTTTTAGTCACTTGCCACGAAAGATCGCGCCAAAGATGCGAGATGAGAAAGCGTCCTCACGGTCATAGGTAGATGGTTTTTTGGTTATTTTTAAAAGGGTGATGAGAGTTATATTTTGCCCGTTCGCAACATACATGAATAAAAGAAACAAATAACATGTAGACCCCTGCATTTACAAAGATGAAAGACAAAACCTGAATGATTCGTAATGAAAGTAATAAGCACAGCATTAGAGCGATTTAAAAGGAGAAAGAGATTGTGTGAGAGAGAGAGAGTGAGAGAGAGAGAGAGTGAGAGAGAGAGAGTGTGAAAGAGAGAGAGCGAGAGAAACGGACAGGCAGACAGACAGATAGGAAGGTAAAGGAACAAGCTTGGGCAAGAGAACAGCGAGGATGAAGCCTACCTTCCGTAGATTCCATCAGTGATCTTATTACGCTTTAAGGGCCTCCGGAGCTTGCCGCACTCGGCATTTCTTCTCTTCATATTCCTTGGCCAGTTTCCAGTGAGGCCAGGATGCAATGGTCTTTACTATCAATGAAGAACAGCAGTGCTAACGATGACGGTGGTGAAGACTCCAGGGCAAAGGTACGAACGAAGAAGTTGACGCGCGCGAGCGCGACGCTCGCGAGGATAGCCACGACGACGAGGCTGATCACACCGGACCGGAGTCGCGCAGCTCGACTTGCACCTCAAGCTTCTTGTCTATGTCTATATCGTGCACTTGCAGTCACCCGCACACACATACACACACATGCACACACACACACAAACGCCAGCCGCAGCCGCTCTCTCTCTCTCTCTCTCTCTTTCTGTTACACACGAATGTGTGTTGCTGTTAGCGAATTTGGCCACGCGCCTGTATATAGCAGGCCATCAGAGCCAGTGAGACAGTAGAGGAGCGAAAACTACTCGCGCGCCGCCATCATCTTCCCCGAGGAAGCGCCGAGAAAGCGAGAGAACGAGAGGAGAAAGAGAGAGGCACGAGACTGCAAAAGATTGCACGAGACGTACGCACGCATTCACGGACAGACGCACACACGTTGCAATTTCCACCTCTTATGGCTGCGCGCACCTTTATGTTCGACTAAAATATAGACACACGACTACTTCCATACGTATACTGTAACCGAATTTTCTGCTGACAATATTTATATTGCCAGCAGATCATCAACAATACAGTATTTACTTCTCTCAATGTGATCCTTCTATCGGCAGGTTATTCACTGTCTATATTTCATTCTATTTATCTTCCTCGCTTTTTGTTTTCTATACGTGCGGATTTGTTTGAGAGGCATTTGTAAATCTGCGCATGCTAATTCTCATATATTTAGGAGGGCAATTGGTAACATTGAGGCTATATTAAAATAAGGCAATTTAATAATAAAAAATCCAAAAAAGATAAACACTTGTTAAAATAGCAACTAGCGAAATACAAAAAGATGAGTAATTGATAAGTACATAAAAGAATTAGCAAACCTCTATTCACTTTGTAAATTGTAATCATGTTTCACGAAAACAGACATATTTACAAATCATAATTTATCTATTTATTCGTCTTGTGAAGAAAAATAATTTTAAAAACAAAAATTAACAGAAAAAATATTAAGTTTGTCAAATATAAACAAATAAATAAATTTAACAAACTTTGTTAAAATTTTTCAATACTTTGTATTAAGTACAACTAATTTTGTTTTGTACTGGCGATCCATGTATTCTATTAACAACGTACAGAAGCACACATTTAAAATATATATTTCCAATCGAACTGTATAAAAGTTTTTATTCCGCAATATAAACTTTATAGTAGCTATTTTACTAATATTACATCTCTATCTTTATTGATTACACCTATGAAAACTGATAAAAATAACATCGCAGTATATGATTACAGTTCCACCGAAAAAATTCCTTCAATTAGCACGATTTTGAAAAATAGTCTAGGTGCCAAGGGCATCCTAATTCTCTTTTCAATTTAGATGGATTTTGACAAGCGTTTCTTATGTATTTGACTCTGAACATGAATATCTGAGGGGGCACTTCACTCGTTCGATCAGAAAAATGTTATAAACAATAATTGTTTGAACATGGAAAATCGTTTTTTGATACAAAAAATATCATCAAATTTTTCAAGCGCTTTTAAGGCAAAAAGTATCCTATAGTTTTTTTTGTCTGACCTTTAGTTCTCGAAAAAAAAAATCTTAAACTTTTGAAAAATGCGATTTTGGCTATATTTTATCGTCAATAGTTTTTGATTGAATCAACTTTTTTCAAATCTAATTACAGGTTAGGGACATTAAAATCAAGACCTATAAGTACCGGTAATTGTTTGTACCAAAAAGTTTTGTTGCGTCTGTTTTTTGAGCCCCAAAAAGTAGTGTTCATGGATTTGCATACATGTGCTTCCGCGGGTCGTATGGCGAAGCGGAAGCCTATCTACAGGCGCATTGCAGTTATATCGTATTTGTGTTTTTATTAATATATATATTAATATATATATATGGGACCCCTAAAGGGGTTTAATAAAAAAGTACCTTTCAAAATTCTTTATTTATTGTTTAATTATTCTATTTAATTATATTCATTTATTCAAATGGACAAACGGTACATGTTAAAATAAACAGAATAATATAAATATTTATACTGCCGAATATTTTTTCAAGTATAAAGTTTACTTGTACTTATGACTTACAACAAAATCTACTGCTACAGTATTCTTATTATCATAACAAATCCAACCTATAAATTTAAACATTTGAATATGGTCAATTTATTCTCTCCTATTTTTAAATCCTCTTTGTAAATTCTATGTGTGCATAAACAAATACCAATTACTATTCAGCAAATACCATAAAATTGTAATACGCTTGTAGATAGTTTTCTGCCTCGCCATATGGGACACGGAGGTATGCACGCGACCGCATGAACGCTGTTTTTCGGAGCTCAAAAACACATATTGGACAAAACTTTTTAGTGTAAACAATTATTGCTACTTAGAGATCTTGATTTGAACTTTCATAGTCTGCGATTAGATTATAAAGCAATTGGTACAATCAAAAATCAATCGACGATAAAAAATGGTCGAAATCGCATTTTTCAAAAGTTTAAGATCTTTTTTTCGGGAACCATGAAAATTATAACATACTTTTCGCCTTAAAATTGCTCGAAAAATTTGATATTTTTTATTTTGTCAAAAACCGATTTTTTCAATGTTCAAACATTTTTCTGACCGATCGAGCGAAGTGCCCATCCCTCTTAATTTAATTATTTAATTCGTGTTTAGTGTAAAAATACATAAAACGTGCTTGTCAAAATTCACCTAAATTGAAAACACCATTGGGACCCACTTGACGCCTAAATTAAAATTTATATATGCAGTACGTTCCTAATTTTTTCATTTAACGTTCTATGTGGTACCTAAAATTAAAAAAGAAATTAAACCTATCACTGTCAGAGATACTCATGATATCTTTATTCCTCTATTCATCATAGAAAATAAACGTAATTTATCATGATCTTTTGCGTTTTGATACAAAACTAAAACTGTGTGCATAAATCTGACTTCAAATTCGATGCCTGCGGGTTAGTTACGTTGGAAACCACATCTTGGATCAGTCTTATCCAATAATTTTGACCCATACATAATTTTCTAAACGGTAATACTATAAAAAATTTTCAAAACTAATGAAACTATAAAATAGACTCGGTTGAGGGAAATTAATGTTTTGAAATATATAAACGCTTCGAGGAAAAAGTAAGCCAAAATATGATTTTTAACTCGTAGAATTCAAATTTTGAAACCTGATTTATGCTATCTTTACTAGTTTTCCATGGAATTTTTAAAAGTCATTAAAATAAATCTATGACAAACAACGTTTTTGTTTTTATTGATATTAGTACTTCAAGAGGTTCAAAAGGGTTTTACCAGGATACACGGTGCTTCGTTTAATTATTTTCGCTTGGACTATACTATACTTCATAAGATGATAAAATAGAAAAATTAAGTGCTTATATCTTGAACATTCAGTACAGTGCTATTTGACAAAACGATGACCTCATGGCACTTTTTTGATGGAATTGCTCATATATATATACTTAATGAAGATTAAATTAAAAACTAAATGCACCTTTTTTAGTTTTTTAGGTAGCGTGAGATCTACAGTCTACAGTATATATCTACAGTATAAAAATTATTTCACTTTCCTTCTGGGTATTCATTCAGTTACAATTTGACTTTGGCAAATAAATACAATATTGATGATATATTCCCTTACAGTGAAACAATGGAAACTTACAATTATATAAGAATATACCATAATATTAAGAACTAAAAAACATACAAAAATACTCTTTTATTACTAAAATTTTTATTAATATTTAGTTTAATAATAAGTATAGCAAATTATAAAATGAAATGTACGAATTCTGATCTAAAAAGATTAATAACTTACAAGCACGAGTTATTACACAAAGTAGATAAATTGATACATTTGATTAAGTTGATACGTTTTCTTATATTTTTTGCTTCAATTTTTTAAAAATTATAATAAAAACAAATGGACTCTTTATAGATTGTTTAACGATGACAAAAAATCACTTCGATATGCGTTTCTTGTTATTTGAAACTAATAATGGCAACGAAATAATTGGCACTTCTACTCGAATATAATTTCGAGTTTGTCATACTCCAATAAATACTAACGGAAGGCAGCATATGCGAAAAATTATTCGAAAGCGTCCTGCGCGTCATAAGATTGAAGTATTTGTATAAAATGCGATATGTCGGATCAAGCTTTTTATAGTGATTCATGAAGTTTTTTAAACACATTATCTCAATCACAGACATATTTAAGACCTTATTTATTACATGTCCATTTCAAATTGTTCAGCAGATTCATCAATTACTTGTGATTCTGAAATAAATAAAAATAGAAATTAGTAGAGTGAAAATTATATTATTAAACGACAGTAAGAGTATTAAAAATGAATTTTATTGATTATTTATTCTACGATATGTTAACGATTTCACACGTGCAAATAATTGTTCATATTGTAATAAAAATATGTACAAACCTTTGGTTGCGGGACTTGATGACTTTGCGACTGGCGTACTATCCTTGAGAATATTAGTCGGTATTGAAGAAATTTTTGGTGGTGTTCGTGAAATTGGTGAATTACGCAAATTCATTAAAAAAGCTCGTTCATAAACGATTCGGGTACCTGTAAATGAAATAGACTAATGAGGGGAATATTTCAAATTTTTTATTAGAAATATTATAGACGCATAATATTTGATGTTTTTTTATTCATTTCGATAATTATATTTTTGTTACGTTTACACATTTATACGTTATAATAAATTAAATTTAAACTCAAGATACATTTGCAAATTGAATTTCTGAGAGCAAGCAAGACGATGACATAGAATAATATATAATCGAAAAAATAGAAACGGTAGTTGTAAAATGGCTTACTAGTATTGATTGAAGTGTTCTTACACGAACGTCAACAATCGTTACTGAAACCTTCGAAAATTCACTACTCAAAGTCGAAGCTGCAAGGATAACAATCTATGGTGGCTTACGACAGAGAGTAAGTGTATTTCGATAATAACTAAATTTCAATCATCAAGCAACGAACATAGTCTGATTCGACATGGTTCGCCATATCGATTTGAAATTCTGCTAAGTATTATCACATTTATCTGGGATAGGCCAGACAGTGCTGTAATAAAAACTTGACCGAATTTTTAGACTGTAATGATACGATTGTAAGAAAAGATAGTTTAAAACTACTTTTTTCTCAGAAGAGAAAGAATCTTATGAATTGAGCTCTTAGACTATCATGTAAGAAAGGAGAATAACAAAACTAACCATTGAATAACGAAAACAGATCTTAGGAAATGGCTAAGACTTTATTTTACTTGTACAATGCTCGCGTTGCTAGGTAAGGTTGGATGAGAATCCTCCTTGCTGCAATGATGAGCATTTATATTCTCGAAAGAGGTCCCTTTTTACGCTGGGTTATCCCTACAACGTTGTTTTTGCAAAATTTGCACAAACTTTGAACAAATTTTATTGCGAAATCGCGCACGTGAAGTGAAAAGTTTGTGATACAGAAAGTGAATTAAAAACGCTGAATTTTATGATATAAATCACTGCTCGGGGAAAAATCGCCTTACGGAGTTATAAGCAAATAAATTATTAAATAAATGGAATATAATTTACAATAAAATCATAGGAATGTTTTACACTAAAAAATATTTATGATACGCGGAACATTATTCGAAATCAACTTTACCAATTTAATAGATAGAATTTGATAATAATTAAATAACAAATTCGCAAATTATTTCTTTTGCAAATATAAAATGGACAATCAGGTAACAATCGTTTTACTAATTTTACAAGTATGTACAGTTGGATCGCTATCTCGTAACGCAATTTAAAAATTTTAATAAATTATTAATCTTTTATTGATAACTTTGTTAAAAAATCAGTTATCAACGAGTCAAATTCTTACTTCTCTCTCTTAACATGTTAGTTTCACTATGTGATATTCAAATTCATATCGCATTTGTTTATTGAAAATTTGTTCATGATTTATCCTTGTAAATTAAATTTCGTTAAATATTATTTAATTAATACTCATTTCAAGTTTAGATTCAAGATCAGTGCATTAAGCTTAACTGAAAAAATTCTTTTATTCTTTGAAAAAACTTGAAATTGCATATTTTGCATAGTAAACAGTGGATGTCGCATATATGCGACGTCACGCTCTTTGTATGGTAATAATTTTGATCAAGTGTCCTAACATATCTAAGCGTATATGTGAGATAGCGCTTTAGTTTTCATAGCACTTGTTCTCATTTTCGGGTGTGTGGTGGGTTGCCGTTATACAGTGATAAACGAAAAAAAAATATTAGACTGCACCGTTACATAGCCATTAAAATGGCGAAATAAAGTGAACCATTCTAATGTTCACGTTGATGGTCTGATTTGTTTTTTTTTCTTTTTTTTACAAAACTTAAATTTAGGTGGTGGTCCCCAGGTTTATTAGAGTTGAGTCATCTTACCCCCGGGGTAGGTGGTTTTATTTTCTGAGGTGGTTACTTCTTGGCGGCGATCTTTACTTCTAGCTTCCGTATTCACTTAAGTACCATGCGCAGCTGTTGCTTGCAGCTGGTGTCTTCGTCCGCATCAGACTCAGGTGCGTTTAATCTCGTAATGATAAAAGTGAGGAAGGGCAGAGGTGGTTCTCTTGTCCATTTTTTTTAATGGAGTGGCGAGAGGTGAATTAACCTGAGGAAACCTAGCTGGTATCTGTGTGCGTTTGCGAATCAGTTAGCGCACCAGGTTGCTTAAAGGGATAATTGGCTGACCCTGCGGAAACGGGATAATATCCCGTAAATCCGCGAAGTCGGTTTGAGTGGTCTTTTCTTTCATGAAAAAGACCATAGCCAAAAATTATTCTAAATCAATTCTCCGAACATGCGTGTATATGAGCCATTCTACAAAAGTTGACATAATTTCAGTAAATTGAAAAAAAAATTTTTTTTGCATATTTGTATGAGTTTGAATGTTTAAACTATAGTAAATGTGTCTTAGAAGGAATTCCTAAGCTGCGCTAAATTTATTTTCAAATTTACGAATTTTATAGACGTTTTTTAACAAAAAAAAAAGAAAAAACCTCTTATGCGATAAAAATTGTTCTTTTACTTTCTAATTTTTTCTATTTTTGTATACTATATGTAAATAATACTTAAAATATTATAAAAATTACTAAATTAAATAAATTAGTTGATAATAAAATAAATTTTCAATGGGTTTTTTTATTGAAATAACATAAATTTTATTTTACATACAGTTTTTATACCATGTTTTAACTAACAACGATAATGAAATAATACATTTTTTATTAAATAAAATACAATCTTACTTTGAATATCTGGAATATACTGATATAGAACTAAATAATCATTTTTTTCTTTAAAGATATATCACTTTATTTTATTTTCTTTTCAGTTTTGTTTCTTGTCTTACAAGTTTTTGTACTATTTTTTTTCTTTACAATTTTAGATGGTACTTTTACGGACTTCTTTTGAACTTTCGAAGATTTGCTTTTTATGGTAGACTGAGTAGATTTTGAATTTAATGTTGAAAATCGGATTTCTTCTAGATGGTAATGTTTACATTTTTGCGTTACCTCGCATTCATAGCAGCTTATTGCATTAAATCTCACCAAATCGTCTTCTACTTTGTTCCACTTAAATTGATGGACGTCTAGGGTTCCATAAAAAGACTTTAATTTTTCTGGAATAACTTTTTTGACAGCGGTTATACTTTCATCAGAAATTGAAGCTGTGAAATACTTTTTACACTTTTTTTGAATAGCAGAAACTAACATTTCATAATTACTGATATCCTGACCGTAATTTATTGAAGAATCTAAAAATCGCTTAAAGGCGCCTCCTATACCATCAGCTACTGATTTACCATGCCCTGCTTCTGTATAATTGTAAACAATACTCTCAAAGTTACTGTAAACTTCAGGTAAATATTTACAAAAAAGGTAAAATGAAGTTTTGTTCCGGTATTGTGTCATAGGACCATCACTTTGCAAATGCAAATGTTTTATAGAAGGATTTATAGTTAAAGCATGATCAATAATGCTTTTTAAGTGTGCTAAAATAGCTGGAGGATCATGGCTTAAAGTCTTTGAAAATGTGCAAAAGCCTTTCTTAAAATTATTTAAATAAATCATAACAGTGTGTAACGAAACTTGATTCCGAGAAGCACCAAAGTGCATAGCTTGTGGCTCACTGCCATGTTTGCAAAGAAAATTTTCACTCCAATCCATTACAATATACAAATCAGTATCTGTCAGATTAGCTTTGGCATTGTTCATAGCTTCAAATTGATGATGGATTCTGTGAATGTGACCCATAAAAGCAACAAGCAAGGGATGTATTTCCTCTTTAATTTCTTTTGCATTAGTACAAATTGTTTCTTTGGAGGTAATTTGAACAGTGATCTCTTTGTTTTTGCCGAAATTCTTTTTTCTTTTCCGGTGACCCACTTTTTGTAAGAAAATCTGTCCTTTTCGCTTTTATTAGTAATAAATCGAACTCTTTTATTCTTACATTTTTGGCATTTTCGTAACATACAATCTTCATTTTTATAATCACAAACAAAAGACGCAATAACCTCTTGATAACTTTTTTCTGTTATAATTTTATTTATGTGTAACGCTCTCACTAATAAATTCATGTGTTATGCAAAGGCACGTATCACGTGAGTTAGAATTGCGAGGGACAATCCAAAATGGACGTAATCGCGCAAAAAACGCATAACTTATTTTAGTACTTGGATTTTCAGAAAGAAATTTCACGCAGAGAGATTTAAGACTACCGTTGAGATAAGAACTCTGCTTTTTTATTTTATTCTTAGTTATACGAGGGTGGTCCGATAAGAACTTAGCCTACAAAAGAAAAACGAAAATTTTGGAAAAGTGGCGTTTTATTTTTCAACATAGTCTCCTTTTAGTTCGATATACTTGGCCCAGCGATGCTCCAACTTCTTTAACCCGTCTGAAAAATACGTTTCCTCGAGGTCTGAAAAGTAGGCTTCCGTGGCAGCGATTACCTCCTCATTCGACTCAAATTTCTGCCCAGCGAGTGATTTTTTCAAGTTTGGAAACAAAAAGAAGTCGCACAGGGCTAAATCTGGAGAATACGGTGGATGGGGCAGCAATTCGTAGACTAATACGACTAATTTGGCCATGGTGACGGCGGAGGTGTGAGCCGGTGCGTTGTCATGGTGGAAGAGCACTTTTTTCTTCGCGAAATGGGGCCGTTTTTTCTGCAATTCGACGTCGAATCGGCCCAATAATTCGGCATAGTACAGCCCTGTGACCGTTTTGCCCCTCTCCAGGTAGTCGATGTAGATCACACCTTGTGAATCCCAGAAAACGGTGGCCATCACCTTTCCGGCCGATGGGGCAGTCTTCGCTTTCTTCGGAGCACATTCGCCGGGTAAAGTCCACTGTTTCGACTATTTCTTGGTCTCTTGTGTATACCAGTGGATTCATGTTTCGTCGACTGTCACGAAATGACGCAGAAACTCCTTCGGATTGCGCTTAAACAGGGTCAGACATTGCTCTGAAGTTGTCTCACGGTTGCGCTTGTTGTCCGGAGTGAGCAAACGCGGCACCCATCGCGC